TTCTCCATCCCCTGTCCCCTGGTTTTGGGTAGCCAATGTACTGGCTTAGGATAACAAACACATGGAATCACCTTCTCAGATTGACATGAGCAAAATTAGCACCACACCCAAAGTAAAAAGTGTCCCCAAAGCAGCCTAATTGGAGATATCTACCACCATTGAATATATGACAGGCATGATCATGTGGGCCTGACTTAGGGAGCCAAGATGCAGTGTAGCAAAGGGGTCAAGAACATGGATGACCCACATTCAAATTCCATCACCACTACTTGGTGGCTGTGCAATCTTGGTCAAGTTGCTTAACCTTTCTGGACCTTTGATTCCAAGTCTGTTAGATAGAAATCTCATAAATAAGATAATGCCTATAAAACAGTGCAAAGCTGAGACCATCAAAAGTGTTCACTGCTTCTGTGACTGAAAGGTTGGCTGTGATGATGGCTTGGAGCCTGCATCTGTAGGTGCAAGATGCTTCAGCTGCAGCTGCAGTTATGGACATGTTCCTATTTCTGATGCTAACTCGGAAGCCAAGAGGCTGGATTCTTTGATTCACTGACTAGCTCTTTGACCTGACAAAGGGCTCCACCACTTTGGCTTCCTCCAGAGCCCTGCCTTTCTTTGGGGATGATTGCTACACAATTCCTCAAAAAGGGTCTAGCATCCCTGCAGTGAAGCCTTACAGGAAACATTAAAGGCACACAAATCCTTTGACAGACATCAGACGGGTAGCACCTAACTAGAACGCAATGAATGAGACTTATTTGTTATGAACTAGCCCTACTTGCCTGAGCCCCGTTCCTCTGTCAATAAAACGGAATGATAATACCTCCAAAGGGCTCTTGCAAGAATTCAGAGAGAAAAAAAATCCACTCCTGGGCACCTGGAAACTGGCACAGAAGGCATCTGGGACCCCTGTAGGACTTGTAAAGGGCACAGTCAGTAGTGGACAGATTTTCAACCACCCTGACAGTGTGCAAACCATTCCTGGCTTGCATCCTCACTGGCACCTGGCTTCGTATCAAGGTGTATTTGTGTGCCTTCCTTTTTACAAGCTCGGCATTTGTGGGACGATGAATCCTATCAGGTGTAGCAGCTGGGGTGGGGCAGAGTAGGACTTTTTTGGTGTACACCGTAATAATGAGTTCAGCATTTTTCTTAACTGTGAGAGCAGGACAGCTCCAGCTCAAGTTGGCTCAGCATAACACCACCCCAGAGGGTGCACCAGGTGATCCACACCTGCCAAACCCTTCATGCCAGCCTGGCCAGCCTGGCCAGCCTGCCAGCCTCCCTTGCATAAGAAGCAGCTTTGCAGAAGAGGACCGCTACAAGGAGAGTGCTGTCATGTGTCTCAAACCACATGCAGGCAAAAATGATGTTCCCCAGAACCTGATGACACCAGACTGAAAGGCAGAGAAATGAGGAACTAGCAGTGGAGCTCAGCAAGGAGGAGGAAGTTTCCCGCGGCTCACTGGAGCAGATAGCTGCAGGAGGGCTCAGTGTGCCAGGCAGGGGACAGGTGACCCCTTCACACATCTGATGGGGCTAGTTGTTCAAGCTCATGCCTGGCTCCAGAGTGCAATGCAGTGCACAGAGTGTGGAGCCAGAGGACATTCACTGTGGCAGGCACGTAGCCTCTGAACTGAGATGAGCATGGTTTGGATCTCAGTTCTGCCCTGGCTTTCTTTACCAACTTTTGTCTCTGTCACCCTCTTTACCTTAATCGGAAGTAATGATAGGTCCTCAGGCCCTGGCTAAGGCCACCATCAAGTCTCCGTTGTCCCTGGACAAGATGTGAACTCAGGATGTGTTTGGAAGGGGGATTCAGAGCTGGCTAAGGTCTGCCGTGTGACTGCTGTGATGAGACTGTTCCTGGGCGGGTAATCAGGAGGGCCCGAGGTGGCTGTGCAGGCTCCAGCTCTCCTGGTGCCCCAGGGGAAAGCAGAGAGGCCGGTCAACCAGGAAGAGACCTCTTTCCCAGAGGCAGGTTTCAGAGGAACACGGTGGTGGCACGGACTCCCAGGTGGCCCCTCCATGATCTTTTACCCTGTAAAACTTGGAGTCGCTCACAGTGAGACAGGAGCATCAATGAGATAATAGACCAGGCTGGAGGATTCCCACCCACCACCTCCTGCTCCAGTGTGGTACAGTCTCCAGCAGCCCCGGCCCCTTGCATCTGTTCCCTTCTGATGCCCTTGGCTGATTAACCCTTTCCTCTCTCCTGTCCCCATGCAGCCTGCCCACCTCACCATGGGCGGGAAACCTGGGTCCAAATCACAGACATTGTCAATGTGCTTGTGGGCATCAGCATCTCAGAATTGAAAGCCAAATGCCAAATGAAACAGGCACAAACTGACTGGATGCGACTTTGATGACACACTGCTTTGTACATGGGTCATGCTGATCTGCTAGGTGCCAGTTTCCGGGTTCTGCACCAGGGACCTCAAGTGCTACCTACGGCCTAGAGATCATATGGGGAAACTAGTTTTCATGTTTTGAGGCAAAATTCAATGGTAGACTAAGAGAAAGAGCATTAAAGACCCCTACAAGGCAAAGCAGAGATGCACTGTGGATCCACTATGGGAGGATGCCGGAACCACATAAGCCTGGATGAAGGACGTCACCATCTACCAAGTGGAGGATGTTACTCCAGCCAGTACCACTGCTCCACCCCAGACGTTGCATCTGTAAAACAGAAGTAATGCTCCACAGGTATGGGGATACATATATTCCCCCAGTTTTTATTTAAAAGTTTTTCATATAAAAATTTTGAAAAAAAAATATTGCAGCTGGTCCACTTCCACCCCATCCAGATTTTGTCAGTGCACTTTTTGCAAAACATACTAGCTCATGCATCGATAATACTGTGTGTGCATGCTTTTCCCAGCCATCATAGCACAGATCTGTTTGGAAATGGAGAGGAAAATAAAGGGCCCCCGAGGGCAGAGAGAACTGGAATGTGACAGCAGCTTCACAAAGGATCACAGCAGGTGTTGTAATGCTGGTATCTCCAGATATGGATGTGAACTTGGTGCTGATGTGCTGCAGCCAGATTCACAGCCAACACAGTGGTACCCAGAAAAGGTGAATGGGCTGAGAGAGAAAGGTGACTGCCACTTGAATTTCTAGCCAATAAGGCAGAAATCCCTTCTGCTTTAAGTCTCTTGAATGAAAGAAAGACAAGCCTCTTTGATCTGTGGTGCTTCCTTCTTTAACCCTAACCCAGAACTGTAGCTATCTTTGAACTGGTTTTTGTTGTACACCTAGAAAATGACCAAACGTTATCACTAAACCTTTCAAGAACCCCGTGAAGGGAAAGTTACTCTGCCTACTTTGTAGGTGATGAGACTGAGGCCCAGTGGTTTGTCATTGAGCTATTGGTAACAAAGGCAAGATTGTGGCTCCTGGGCTCTTTCCCTGCCTTCCACTCTACCAGACACTCAGGTCTCCCCTCCTCTTCCACTTGGCTCCTGGCTTGGGGAGAAAGTATGGATTCTTGCTCAGTAAAGGTTAGGAGGGGCCCCTCCCTTCCCACGGTGAGCGCAGAGGCTTTGTTAATAGGGGACTGCACGGAGTGAGGCTGGCTTTTGCGCTTGCTCTGCAGAGGAATCAGTTCAGATTTATACACGATGCTCAAGTTGGCTCTGTTTTCTAAAGACCTAACTTTGCAGCATTCTTCAAGGGCCCTAGAGAGTTCCTTTTGCCATCAAATTAAGTTTGGAAACTTCAATAAGAAAGTCCCGAAGGAAACTGTCAATTAATGCATTTATACTGGAGCATCATACTTGGGCAAAACATCTTCAAACACAAACACTGTTTTCCAGCCATTAAAAATTGTGTGCACTGCTTGGTTTCCATAGATACCAGAGGTAACGGCCTTCCTCTCATTGAAGAGTAAGAGTCATTGGGTTTCTTTTTCTTTCTTTCTTTCTTTCTTTCTTTCTTTCTTTCTTTCTTTCTTTCTTCTTTCCTTCCTTCCTTCCTTCCTTCTCTCCTTTCTTTCTTCTCTTTCTTATTAACTTCTGTTTTTCTTACTGTTTTCTCCCATCCCCATTCATGAAAACAAAAGACAGCCACATTGAAACCTGACAAGGTAATTTGTCTGGGAGAGACACCTTGATTTATAAGCTCAGAAGATTTCATCATTGTTGCTCATCTTCCTATTATTTCCTGTTTTCTACAAAGAGGACTGGTGCTTGCAGGAACAAGGTAGAGCATCTTCTGTTGATGGAAACATTTCTGCAGTCCTTCACAACCACACACACACACACACACACACACACACACACGTGCATGCGCACATACACATGCACCTGAGTACACACTCATTCTCAAAAGGAGACATGCTAATGAACTGTTGAAGAGAACCGAGTTCTGATTATATATGAGTTGGAGATTGGCAAACTATGGCCTGTACACCAATCTGGCCCAATGTCTTTTCGTAAATAAAGCTTTATTGAGACACAGCCATGATCATTTGTGTGCATGTTGATCCTGACCTCTTTTGCAACAGTTATAGCAGAGTTGAGTAGTTGCAGTGGAAACTAGAATGCATACAATGCTTAAATTATTTAATCATTAGCCCATGGCAGAGATTCATTGATCCTTTTTTGTATGCAGGAAAGAACCAGAGGTTTGGAGGAATTTGATAATGTTGTTACTTTAGAAGGGTACCTAGTCTTGATATGACTCAGTTTCTACCTCCTTGAAATGGGACTGATAGAACTTTTTCATAGAATATTTTTTTTTTTTTGCACTGAGTTTGGCACATTGGAAGGAAACAGGAATTATTTTTGCATAAGAATCTATTGCTAGAAAAACCCCAAGAAACCTCATTTTCTGGAAACTCCATTAAAGTTTTTGTTTATAAAATCCAAGGAAAAACCCAAACCAAAGAGCTCCACTACTGTTCTTGGGTGCAGTAGAGCTTAGCACCCTTTCCCTGTGAGAAGGTGGTGTAGCCAGGGTCCATTTGGGGAAGAAAAGACAAACAAAAGAATCCACAATGATCTAGGAACAAATCTTTAATTTCTATTTAGCTTTAAAGAGTTTCAGAGAGCCCCCCCCCTTTAACAAACCAGTCCAAGTACATGCCTTCAGATTACAAAAGTACCTGAAATTGCCTAGAATATCAGCATGCACAGATTATTAATATTTACATATATTTACATAGGGAAACAAGAGAAAGATCTACAGTTATTTACAGTCTACATAGAAAAAGAGAAAGTGGCCTAATTGTATTTCCTAAAATACAGTAGATGAGTCGTGATTACATGCATATTGACATAATATTTGCATGATAGAATACATTTTTTTTAAAAAAAAAGACATACCTTTATAACTTACTAGGCTAAGGTGTTGCATAATCAAGGTAATATTTTTTGTTTGTTTTATTTCTAGTCTATTTGCATCAAGTGCTTTAAAATGCTCGCTAACACCTAGGCAGAATTATTTACCCTGGCAATTAAAGTAACAACACACACAATCATTTCCTACTAACTAGCAACAAGCTGCTGGTGAATGAAATATCTATTGTGTCTCATTACCCATCGACCACTGTGAAGAGATCTCTCCGTGAAAAGGCAATGCCTAAGCTATCACCATTAATTATGGAAGTAATATAAATGAGACACTCTCCACAGTATGTTCTAAATGAAATATTAACAAGGCCTGCGTCTTTGAGCCTGAGAAATGATCTGTTCCCGTGAGCTCTCTGAGAAGAGGCACATACTCAACCAAGACCTGCCCAACTTGACATGGTGAGGCTGGACCCTGTGCCCTGCCAGGGAGATCTGAATTATTGCAAAGTACTTCTTCTTAATTCATCATGGGGAAGACAGAGTTAAGATTTCATTTCTTCCCGTGCCGTGGCCCCATCACAGGGCCTGCTATTTCCTTCCACACCCAATATCTTTTTAGTACTATAGTAGAACATATATGTGATGTGGGTGTAAAGGACCTGTCAGCCTTAAAATCCAGATGAACAGCTTGCTGGTGTGTGCCCTGAAATCCTCCTTGCTCACGCAACAGTCCTGTCTCTGTGTCCTTCAAGAGCAAATATGGCAGCCAGAGGTGGTGGAGTCATTCTGTGCATAAGGAAAGAAGAAAAAGGTTCCACCTGTCCTCGGAGATATTCTCTGCAACATTATATCAGATCTGAGCCCATTAATTCTGCCTGGTGAAGATTTCAAAGTTTTATTTAAGTATACATGGTGAATACAGAGCATACACTTATATACAGTATACAGAGCTAGCTATAGGAGGGTAAAGAAATAGAGCAAAAATGTCAAATGTTTCAAATTAACATGAGCTAAATATCTTTCTCTATATATCTTATGAACAGTCAGTCCTTCAACACTGGCGTTGAGGTGGCCCACTGACAGGCCATCAGGTTTGTCCCAAGTGGAAGAATGATGCTTATTTCAGTGGCAAATGTCTATGGCTCTTCTGCTTGGCCATTTCAACTGAACTCATGGAGGAATGGATGCCCCAGTTCAATTTTCCTTCCCAGCAAGAGAACTCTCCATTCAAAAAGAAGCTGCTTTGAGCAATGTGGGTATTCCAGGCAGCATCAACAGTGTGTGCCTGGACCATTTTTTCGTGGATGTGAGAACAGTGTAAACAACATTTTCCATGATTTCTAATGAGATTCCCTCAAGTCTGGTCAGTTCCACAACACTTAGGCGGGTCTAAGGGGAAGAGAAGGGAGCATCCTTAAAGTGAGCCACATGGGCCATCGTTAAGCATTTCCTCTTTCCTTCCCTTATTAGGAAGACTCCCTGCCCCGTCACCACACATGAAACACTTGTGTGTATTATGCCTCTATTCTTTTAAAACCAGACATAACTATGTCATGGAACCCTCAGGACATTTGCAGTGAGAATTTTGGAACATGAAGAAGGCATGAAAGGGGTTCATTTCCTTCAAGGAAGAATCTAGAATGGTTAATTGTCTTGATGGCAGAGCCCTGAGTGCTGACCGAGATCATTCTGTTCCTCATTTCTTTCGGTACCCTCTGTTCAAGTCCTCCTTGCCTGGTCTTCCCAGAACAAACATGGCTTTGGACTCCTTTGGATGGCTAAGACTGGCTGCTTATTCTTCCCTCCATTCTACAGCTAACGAAGAAAATTATAGTCTTCTGCCTCCTAAAAATTCTCTCCTACTTCCATCTGGAACTCTCTGGTCTGAGGGGGATTTTCCTGCAGTGTTTCTGAGGAGGAGGAGCGGCTCTCCTGCAGACTTTGCAACTCATTCCTCTCTCTCTTCAGAGCAGCCTCTTAAAACTCCTCCTTCCTCTTGCTAGTAAAGCGTGTCTTTTGAACCTGACTCGGACTTGGGGATGACTTATTAGGGATGCTTGCACTCCAGACAGGGAACGCCCCAGGTTGGCTTGGAGAATCTCCCTGAGTATAAGGCATTTGAAAACTGACATTCTTTTTCCTCTTTCATTTCTATCAAGGCGGTTTTTGAAAATTGGTTGTGGTCTTGCTTGAACAAACTGCATTTATGCTGATAGGCTGGTGTAGTTCATAGCATGGGTGTCCCTCAGTCAACTACCATCAAAGCTTCCCATGGACTGTACCCTCAGTGTGGGATGGGGAATGGCCCATGCACCTGTGTGGGAGTCACGGTAAAAGGGACCTGATGCTTGCAACATTTGTGATCCAGGTTTTCTTGTGGCAGTAGGTAAATCCCAGGACATGTTGTCAAGCCCCCTGTGTTAGAGTAGATGTGCCCCCTCCGCAGGGCAAAGATAATCAGTGTCACCTGGATGTCCTCTACAGAACACACTCAATGCTTTTAAAGCCTAAAAACAAATGTTTGCTCTTCTGATCTTTCCAGGTGAGAAAACTTGCACATTCCCCCTCTGTGACAAGTGTTAGTTAGAAGCATCCTGGGAGTTAGCAAAAACTCTCAGGGGCTTGGGAAGACAGTTATATTTCAATATGTACACGAAGTATTTGCATGTATCTAAGTGTGTATTGTTCAAGGCCTTTGGAGGAATCAACTGTTAGGAATTTGTAGAATTCAATTTTCTGAGGTCTTTTGGGAGGTGAGGGAAGAAGTTGGTTCTTTTTCCTCACAAACCAAAGAAGCATGTCAGAGCACACACCGACAAAAGGCCACACTCAGCCCGGGATTTATTAAAATGGAGATGGCATTGGTTTTATGTCCATACTTTGAAAAAGACTTTTGCCAAAGAGTAGATTCCTTAACTCTGCAAACCTGGTGCCTAGAGGTGGCATTCTGGATCAGGTGACATTTTTATTAAGGGTCATTTGCTGACGAATCATCCGAGGGAGTGCTGAGCCTTCATTTTTGTTAATCCAAATGGATATGATTTCAATTTAGCTCCCTCACTAAATCAACAATGGAAAATCTCCTTTGAACATTTCTCAGGTGAGCACCCAAGAGCCCACACATTGAATTGCATGCCACGTCAGGGTGTCACTCTATGGTGAGATGTAGCCAGGGGGGGAAGAAAACAAAACAGCATAAAGATGTTTGAGCAGGTGGAAGACAAGGAAGAAGAAACCATAAGTGGACCATCTACGTGATTATCCATGTGTCTGCAGACAAGTTGCTTCTGATCTCTGGTACTAAGTGGGCTTTTCTGCATGCGGGAATGCGTTTGTTTTTCATCCCTGATACGAAGTGGAGCTCTCTGTACGTGAGGATGCCAATGGTTCCAGTCTAATGGAGCAGCATAAGGGTTAAAGTGCAATGGTTATGAAGCTTTCTGCAGGTGTCTGGCAAATGGTAACTTCTCAATAAGTATTGGTCTCTCCAATTGTTTGAAAAGTCCCCACTGGCTTAAACTCTACTGGAAAACTGAACAGTTGGGAGGATGGAGTCCTTCCATGGGCTCTCTGTGCTATTCGGCTGCCTCTCAAGATTTGGGGGCAGTTGGCCGGTTTGCTGATTAGCACTGTTTGCAGTTTAATTATGTGATACATGCAACAGAGGAGGAAACGGGTGCCCATGGGTTGTCACCCCTCCAGTCATAGAGGCATGTGAGCCTCAGTGTTGTACAAACTGCAGGACTCTGTGATCTGATGGGATATAGAAGGCGTCCAGGTGTGCATTTGGGAAGGGTTTGCTTTACCTCACAGACCCTAGACAGCAGCAATAAAGGCTAGAAGGGTTTGGAGAGACACCTGTCTTTCCTTTTGTCATCCAACCCGCTCACTTGGGGCCACCTCTTTGCCCTGGAAATTCAGCTCTGTAGCCACTCCCCACTCTGAAAGGGTGGCCCTCCTTCCCTGTCTGGGATCCTCTGGCTGAGCTGGAACAACATGTTTCCTTTCGTGACTGTACTTCTTGCAGAGATTGATTGTTTCAGTATCTGCTGCGCAGTGTTCTGATATCGATGTCTGGAACAAAGCAGTCTTAGGATGTCTACAGCTCCCACAATCATTGAATATAGAGCTATGCCACGGTGTTGTGTCTGTTCGTAAGTGCATCGCATAGTTACAGCTACGTGAAGATGGGAATCTATTCTCTCTTGCAAAGAAGCATGCATGTTAGAGAAACCTGAAAACTATACATTAATCCTGTGACATATGTTCTTATTAGAATGTATTGTGTCAGAGTACTAACTAATGCTTTACAGATATCGATATGCGGGATTTTTCTCTTTGCCATGTATTGTTTATCAGAAACCTCTGCACTCCTTCCTTTAAAGGAGTCAATATTCATTTGTATTCTATGCTGACAGCTACAAATTGATGGCCAGCAGTTATCAAATAAACGTTGATGAAAAGCGGCTACTTAACGTTTTCATCCCAACAAAGGGTTTCAGAAGGATGGATAATTTAGATCTCAGGGCCTGCAACACAAACACACAGCAACTGCCTCCTAAATCCCACCTTTCTATAGTTAAAGATTGTGCTCAGATCTGACAAATGATTTCTGAAAGAGAATGATGAACCCCTATCACTGAGATGCTCTTAGCTTAATCCCAAACAAGAATCCTGGGTAATTTTACATACACTATAAAGATTGATGGCACAGTTCTTTGCTGGAAGCTCACAAATGTTGGGCTAGATAGGAAATGGCATTCGAGATGATTAAAGATTCCTCTGAGCTTCCCAGAAATTTTCAGTCCTGAGCCGTCCACACCCTGCCTCACTGCCGTTACTGAGGGATGGAGATGCTGCTTCTGTGCTCTTCCATGATTAGCATGCAACTTACTGATAAATCGTTCTCAAAAAATCGTTTAGGGGAACCCATAGCTCCAGCCAGCATTCAGATGTCAAGGTGTTATTATATTGTCACAGTAGATCAGTAAGCAGTAGTGGCAACTAGCAAGTCACAGCTCAGATATCGTACATCGGAGTTGTTAACATTATTTCCTTTGTGTGGCTCTTTCATCTTTTCTGAATCATGTACCGACGCCCCCAAAAAGTGGCATGAAAGTCATTTGGTGGTGATTAAAGTGTGCTTAAAATTTTTTTTTATCCATTTAAAAATGTTTCATCTTGTATCAGCAGAACCGGTTTGTTTACTAATGAGGTTTCCCGAAAATGACTTGGTCTCATTCTGATGCTGGTGTGCAGACCGAAAAAGCTGATGAACCCAAAATAAGAACTTGCTACTAAACTGTTGTCACATCTGATCCTGTAAACATGTCACTCAGAGGTTGCCACTGGGACAGCTGGGAAGAGAATTCCCCAAGAAGACAAGGGGGGGAGCATGGGACCAATGAAACGTCATGGCTACTTCATGGCTCAGCGTGGGAGGAAGACAGTGTGCACACTTGATCCTGGGAGTGGAGAAAGTGGCTTTAGGAGCCTCCCCTGCACTGTGTTCTATAAAAGCCAGGACCGTGGTGATGGCACTTGGGTTGTGCACCAAAGCCAGTGGCAAAAGAATCAAAAATAGGTATTGATTGGAAAAAAAAAGACAAAAAAATGGGCTTTTCTTAAATGTATGGTTTTCAGCGTGGGAGCCAAATGTGGGTTCTCAGGAAACGAAGCCAGCTGTTTGCAAACTACAGAGTCAGTGCAACGCAAGGCCCCTGCTCCCCTATCCGCACGATTCTGAATCGATGCCACCGTAGAATTTCTCTGTAAAAATACTATTTCAGTAATGCTACAGTGAAATTTGATATTGTTTTAGAAGGTTGTAGTGGCAAAATGCTACACTGGGCTTGGAAGAATTTGGCTTTTTGCTTTCTTAAGTCTGTATTTATTTATTTTTTTCCCTTCCCTTGGACTTGTCTCAGGATGGGCAGGTCCTGAGAAAGGCAGGTCCACCCTGATGAATGAAGGTGATGTTATAACCACTCCAGGGGGGGCGGGTGGGACTTGGCATGAGCTCACTGGATTCTCTCAGCGTCTGGGGGTGGACAGTAGGTCATCCAACCACTCTCTGGTAGACTCGGCAGCTGCAAAGTAAAATGTAAACCCAAGACACCTATCCTAAAATTCATACAAAGCAGTGTCTCCGCTTGAATCCTAAGAACTGAAGCCAATGGTGTTTTGGCTTGAGTTAGCCAGATAAGCGTCTTGGGGCTCCCCTTCGTCTGTAGAGGCACTTTTGCTTCCATATTCCCTGCGTGGGAGTCACAGGAGTCAGATAAACCGAGAAAGAAGAGTCTGCAGATCAATGCGCCAGGTGCTAAGCTAAGGGTTATGAGGAATAATAATTCAGTGAAAGCAAATTTGGATAACATCTCCTCGTTTCCATTAGACTTCAGCTCACAAATCACTTGGGAAAGAACCTCTGCATCCAAGACATTCCCTGGCCATGAGAGGTGGGCAGGCAAGGAAGGGGAGGTACCACACCAGGGATTATTTAGTGAGGTGCAAGTCATGTCAGTCGTTAAACTTCTGGGCTGGTGGGACTTGTGCAATGGTGGCCAACCAGTGTTATCAGGGCTTGAGTCTCTGTCTCACTCAAGCTCCGCCCCCTTTCCATGATCGGGTCACTGGGACATGTTTGATTGTTTTGTTTCCAACTGTGATCATAGACACCGAAGCCAAAACAAAACCCCAAGTCTCCTTTCCAGCGCGTCCCTAAAATTATCACATCTCAGGATCCTAGTTCTCTGAGTGGTCCTGGCTCCCAGTGATTCTCGAATGCACCTTGGGTGGGGACAGAAAACTAGGTCCCCTGTAACCACACAGCCTGAACACTTCCCTAAGGACGGCCTCCTCTGCAGTTGTCTTTACAGTGCTCTTTGAAACTGCACTTCCATCAGCTGATAATTAGTTGGTACAGCAAGGGCTGAGATGCACATAAATAATCATAAGATGCCAGATAAACTGTATTGGTTTTAAATTAGAGCCCTGTGTACAGTGTCTCCCTATGAGCGGCAGCCTATTATTTTTAATTATGGCTTGCAAAGCAAAGTGATTTCTTGCCCCCTTCACAGCGTCCCTGGTAGTCTTCTGTCAGTCTGGGTGACACGGTGCCCACCAGCACGCACACGCCTCCCCAGCCTCGGCCCCCACTGTGGCATCAGAGTTGAACCAAAAGTGATCATGGCATTCATTGAACCTTGCATTTTGATGTGGCCTGGAGGAGAATGCACCCTCGGCCCCTGTCTCACTGTAAATCCAGGACATGTGAGACAGTTGGCAAAGATTTTCCAGATGCATTGCTCTGTATGTGTGTGTGCATGTGCATGCATGTGTGTGTGTCTATGAAGGGTGTGTGTCTCTGTGCGCAAATCTTACACATTTTAACAACATTGCAAACGCCTCCCCTAGCAGCACTGTGGACAAGGAATAAGAGAAAGATCTAGCAGCAACCCCCCGCCTGGGTTTTCTACCTGATGGGCCATGGTCAAGAGTGGTTGGTTTAATTTACACAGAGGTACTGGAGAGATCTTGTCAGACTGCATCACACATGGGGAAGCCGAGGGGCTGGTTGCATCTGCTCTCACGTGCTGGGAAGGATACCGTCTCCCCAGTCCCCCATGATGTAAGCATCCATGTCCTTTTAGTTTCCAAGCCCATTAGAGGTGTAGACAGTCACACCAGCATAACAAGCGGAGTTTATGGACTCATTTTGCCAGGACAGTCCCGTAGCACCTCTGAAAGCCACTGCCTGGAGTCCAGTACCTTTGGCGCTGGCACCCAGCTGCCTCTGGGTGGGGGTGGGAAGCTCGCCCATGCCCACTGTCATCTTTCTTAATGATTTTTCTTCCTTCTTCTCTTTCCTCTTTGATTTCCAGCAACAAGGAGCAGCCACCACGGTCTACTGCGCAGCGGCCCCGGAGCTGGAGGGCCTGGGAGGAATGTATTTTAACAACTGCTACCGCTGTGTGCCCTCCGCGCAGGCTCAGAGCCAGGAGACGGCGCGGGCCCTGTGGGAGCTCAGCGAGCGGCTGGTGCAGGACCGGCTGGGCAGCGCCTCTGGCTAGTGGGGGACCCTTCCTGTCGGCCACCCAGATCCCACATCCCTGCAATGCAGATACACAAGAGCAGAGGACATAAATAAGAGTGCTTGACAGATAAGATGTGGTGATGGGAAACAGAATTAATTGCACGGGACAGGGACAGTGTCGCTTCTCTGTGGCTAGGATAGACACGGGTCCTTCCGCTTGCTGGTGGTGGGCTGTCTGAGAGCAAAAGCTTGGTCCATATCTGGGTTCTTTCGCTCATTGTAGAAGCACAAGCAGCTTTCTCTCACTGTGATCCCCTGATGTCCTCTGGTCCCACAGCCGCCACTGCAGCCAGAGGTGGCTTTCTCCTCCCTAGGGAAGAAAAATCAAGTGTTCATCCTTCCATGTTGGATTTGTCCAGGAGATTATTTTTTTGTTATCATAACCAAGTCTGAGGGGGCTTGGCAACTTCTGGGCAGGAACCCCAGAGTTTTGTTCCAGCACATGTCACCAATGAGAGTTAGGTAGCACAGCACAAGGATCCCGCAGTATCAGTCACCAACTCCTTCGCCAAAGCTAGACAAATACTTCCTTAGAGGTGGTAACAAATACATTTTCCAAACCATTCCCTAGAAAGAGCGTTGGGCCGGAAAGGGAGGCCCGTGTCCCCAGAGCATGTGAGAGGTCCTTCATCGGCCCCACGGGGTTCCAAGAGCGGTCCGGGGCTGTGTTTTACACCCTCTCCGTCTTCCTGCTTCTGCAGCGGGCTTCTCCCCTTCCTGCCGTGTTAGGCTGAATAAAAGATCATGCTGAATTATGATCGCCTAAAGTTTGTATCATTTCTTTCAATGTTCATTTCAGGGTTTTTTTTTTGTTTTTGTTTTTGTTTTTGTTTTTTTAAGAAAAGAAAGTAGAGGACAAAATAAAGCACTTCTTGTAGACGCCAGGAAAACACCGTGCTTATTTCTTCTCTGAGTTTGGGTTTTGTTTTTGTGCTTTGTGGCTGTCTGTGGCCGGGTTGTCTCACACCATTAGCATGCCAGCATCATATTTTCTGTCAGAGAAAGAAAGAAAAAGAAAGAAAATGACTATCATGTAAGGCAACTCCATACAATGTTTCGTCATTACTCACAGAGAGTCATTTTGGTCCTCAGTGGCTTGGTCCCCTGTGATTCTGGAGAATTTAGTGGTTAGAGAGCTTCTCTGTAACTCGGAATGGGGACAGTTGGAGACTCCTCCCCTTATCCCTTCATCCCTTCCTTTTTACAAAGCTCCCTAAATTATATAGAACAAGTCTTCATACAGTCATTGATTCATTCAACAAACTTCTCCAATGCAACATTCTGGAAAGTCAGTTTAGATTAAACAAGCAAGGACACAAGAGAGTCTGCTCTGGCATAACAGAAAGCATGCATTAGCTCAAAGAAATGCAAGGAAACCAGGAAAAGGGGAGTGAGGATGCATGTCAGTGCCTGTCCTGAGAAGGGCAGCTCCAAGCTAGGCAACGCCGTGAATCCCTGGACTGCCATTCCTGTGATGATGCCACCAGACACCACTGATCTCTGCAGCCTCCTTTCTGGTACATTCTCCCCGAGAAAGTCCTTATTATCCCAGAACTATTAAAGTGTGAATCAGAATGCCTCCTTTCCGTGCAAACCTCTGGCGTCCTTAAGGTGCATTCCTTCCACAAATGCTCGCCCTGATTCTCCTCTCAGTATCCACATATTCGGTGGGCACCTCGCACACTGACCTTGACCTTGGCCACATCAGTGGCTTTGGCTGATGCACTGGGGCTTGTCATTTTCTGCTACCCTATGGAATCCTGCAGACACCTCCAGGTTCCTGAGCCTAAGCATAATGACACCAGACCTTCCATCGAGCTCACCAGATGTGACTGAGGCCGTCTCATACGATCCACCACAGCTGAGCCAACCCAGAGGAAAAGAAACTTCCAGTCAACTCACAGAAGTATAAAATGTAATAAACATTTACTGCTTTAAGCCAATAAAAATTTTTTGGAGTACTTGTTACACAGCAAAAGCTGACTGATACAGCTTCTTATTTTGCTAAGCAAAGGTCAGCTTTTCTCCTGAACCTACCAATTCTCTCATAATTTTGTCCTCTATATTGTCCCATTTCTTAGCATTTTCTTCTCATCTACTGAAACACAAGGTCTCCATAATCACTGTCCCCTCTCCCAGGAACATCCATGGCTTTCTCCCTCACTGTTCAAGCATGACCACTTCCATGTGAGGTGGCATTTCTAGCCATTGCATGCATGATGTCATCCCAGTCACCCTCCCTTTACCTTTTACTTTTCTATTCCAAAATACTTAATACTACCAGATGCACCGTGAGCCTCTGTATGGCTTGTCGCTCTCCCTATAACAGAAACACTGTCACATTTTATCCATTTCCTTTACAGTGGTGATCCCCTCCCTTGAACTCTCTCTCTCACACAGTTGGTTTAGTAGACGATGATGGAAGGAAAGAAGAATACTGTGTTCATGAAAATAATCTCGGCCACCGTGAGAATGAGGAGGGCCACAGACTCTTCGAAGCCAGCTCACCTGTTTCTGACGAGACCATGGTCATACCAAGTGCCCCTCTTCCTGTCTTTAGATGAACATGTCATTTTACCACTGCCCCATCACTCATAAGTCAGCAGGGCCATGATTCACACCCAGGTCTGTGTGATTTCATGCGGCTTCGCTGTACCCTGGATCAGGCTGAGCCTAGGAAGATGAGCGCTCCCCTAAATCAAGGACCCCTTGATTTACAAACCAGATCTTTATACACTCTCATGTATTTGGTCACCAAAGACACAGCCTGGAAATTCAAACCTTAGAGTTCCCCCAGCCAGAGTCCCCACTGTAGAGGAATTAGATCTTGAGTCCACCAGCATCCTTCCAATGCAGACGGTCCTATTCCATTGTCCCAGAATTTCTGCACATATGTGAGGATGAACCCAGGCCCTGGAACAATGGCCAGGTGTCTTCTTGCCCCTGAACTCAGTCTAACGTCCCTGTGGGCCAATTTCCCCTGCCAAAAACATGGCTGTCAATTCCTTGGCTAATTCTGTAGGGGACTACTAGTGACCAGCTGGCTATGGTGACCATGATTTGGCTCATTTGAAGACAAAGGCTATTCTCACCGTTTGTCAGGATGTGTAATGCATACCTGTGCTCACTGTGTGCAAACAAAGCTCGTTCTTTGCACATGGTGATCCTGCTCTGACGTCACCACGGCTAGCTGCAGGTGCTGTTTGTTGAGCATCTACTCTGTGCCAGTTGAGGATCTGGGTAACTCACCCCCATCCTACCGTGTGCTCAGAGGAGGAAACTGAGATTCAGAGACACAGGGCCACCTCTGCACCACCCGCAGCTGGCACAGACGGGAGTCAGGATCCGAAGCCAGGTCTGTCTGCCTGGAGCCCTTGTGCCTTCCAGTACAGACCATCCCTTCTGGGCAGCCTACACAGCAGCAATATAGGCTTATTAAATCTGTTCAGGCAGTGGATCATTCACAGAGGAAAACAAGTTGGCTTTTCTACCCAGGGATGGAGCAGGCTCCCCTAATGGTCAATACCTGAAGTTAAGTTAAAACAACTTTAAAAAATATTTTTTTTCTTCTTTTGCAGTGCTGGGACTTGAATTGAGGGCCTTCAAACTCAACTATATCTGAAGCCCTTTTTTACCTTTTTTTTTTTTTTTTTTTAAATTTTGAGCTAGGGGCTTACTAAGCTGCCAAATTGCCCAGATTGGGCTCAAATTTGTAATCCTCCTGCCTCAGCCTCCCCGAGTGCTGGGATTACAGATAACACACCACCGTGTCTGGCTGGCGGATCTCTTTGGCATGTGCCATTTGCCCAGCAAGGTCGGCTTCAGCCCCTCCCGCGCTGCCCACTGACCCTGTCTCCCCTTCTGAATGTGGACAGACTGAACCTAGCCTCCTTCCTTGGGCACAGCTGCCCACAGACTCTGTCCTGAGCCAGAGTCTCCCAAAGCCAGACTCCCCCCAAAATAGGAAGAGTGCCTGCTTCTCTGGGGTCTCTGGTCTCCTCTCTGCCCCTGTCTCTTTAAACCCATAAGGCAGACAGCTTACACTTTCACACCTGAATAAGACAGACCTTGCTGCCACTCACCAATAGGAAGCAAGAAATGGAAGCCTCCCCCACCTTGGCTAAAGCCTGTGGCTTGTGGTTTTGCTCTTTCAAATGGGGTGATGGGTGGTTTTGTTTTGAACTTCAATGGAGGAGACCTGATCACTTTCATCAAGGTCAACGCTAGGCCGGAAAGTCTTAGCTTGCAGAATCACTGCCCGTTCTGGTCACTAACAGATACCATTTTTAGAAGTTTACATCAAGAAATCATCCAAAATAGCATTACCTACCCTGTGTATAGCTTTGCAACTTTCAACATATCCAAACTAGTTTGAAATCCCTTCAGAATACTGAGTAATATCATGAAATGGGATCCACGTAACCTCAGAAGACACAGCTCTGAATTGTATCTCTTGAGGAAACGATAGCGAAGCAATAAAGTTAATTTTTAGAAAGAAAAAGAATACGTATTTTAACATACGCCACTTTTTCATGGTGCCTTTGAGGTCTCCGTGGCATTTGGATTCGTGTCTCCTGGCTACCCCTTACTTTTTCTTTTTCCCCTGAAACACATTCTTTCTCAGAACTTTCAATCATTTCGCTAGATGCAAGATGCCTAATGTGTGACGTGGGGGTGGGCCACCGCCTGGAAGCCCGCGACCCTTCCCTGCAGCATTTAGCTTAGTTCAAGTTTCTGCTCTTAGCATCGTGGTTTAGCGAGCATTTCTGTGCAGATCAGCTTCACCGTCTGCTCCTCCCGGGTCTACAGGAGGTCCACATGCTAACCTCTCACCGCGACCCTCAGTCGAGCTCACCCCAACTTGTGCTTTTGCTGGCTAACAACCTGGTTAACACCTCATTTCGCTGTGCACATCTTTTGAACTGTTTTAATGTCACTTTTGCACAACCTCTATTTATATCTACTATTCCCAAGCAGTCAGCCTCTTTATTTAAAGTAAAAGCATTTTGTCTTCCACTTCCTCCCAGGACTGAGGTTGCAATTTTAATTATCATGGAAATTCAAAGTGACTGGAGAGAGAAGTTTGGTGGGGAAATATCAGTGCGACTCAGGATCCCCATCATCGCCATGTCTTCAGCCTGGGAACATCTTGCATCTTTTCCTGTTCTAGACACCAGTTGTAGCTCGACGTGGACCCCAGCAGTGTGGCTGAGACCACAACTCGCACCCTGATACTTTGGGTCCATGTTGACCCCACTAGCTAGGATTCCTCTGTAAGCTACTTTTTGGCAGCTTCTGTGAAATCATGGCACTCTGATCAGAAAGACCGTCTTGCTTTTGATGGACTCTTTGCAGGACCACCCCCTGCCATGTCTGGGGTAAAAGAGAGCAAAGCCGGCTTCTAATCACGTGTTCCAGGACAGTGGCTCTGCGGCTCCTGCCTTCCCTGAGTTTCCCTGAGGTTCCCTAGGAATTGGTCCTTTGATTTTGAAATCCTGACAGTGTCTCATTTGATACTAAGCATCCTGGAAGAGAGAACACGCTTTATAAGGATATTTCCTGAGTGCTAGCCAGTACTTTGGACCAAATACTTACTTGAAAAGCTGTCTTTGTACAGTTAAGACTCACAAATTTGAAGTCAATGATCCTGTCCATTTTCACTAACTAGGAAGCTGTTGCAGGCCAGTGCTTCCTGTGGACAGTGTCCCATAGTTTTCCCTCCCCAGCCACCTGCCACCCACCTATTCGCTGTCCTTTCTCACTGCATTTTCTCTCTCTTGTCCCTGTGTCTCCCGCCCTCCTCTTCTGTGTTTACAGACTTGGAGAGGCTTCTCTGAGGACACTGCTAAACCTTTTCAACAAACTTTGTGAGATTGGGTCACCAAAAAATTTAAAAAATGGAAAAAAAAACTAAACAGACAAAAACAAAGTTCCATCATTGCAGTAAAGTAGTTGATCTTAGAAATGAATGCTGAGAATGTTTTCTGTTTGA